GGGTGGTATGGGGTAGTATTGGGTCATAGTCACGGCAATTCGGTGATGTTTTCGGCACCAAATCGCATATTTCCCAGATGGAATTAAATTACGTCTACAAAGGTGATATTTCACAGTAATAAAGAAGTATTTGGTTCATAACTGGGTCGTATGGGGTAGTATTGGGTGGTATTGGGTAGTATTGGGTAATTAGACGAGCCGATCCCGAGAGCCCCTGGTAATTGGACATTGGTTCAGTAAACAGGACAATTAAGCTAATGAGTTATCACTGGTTAGGGTACTTAATTGACAGTTTTAATAAGTTATCGGCCGGTATGAATGAACTTCAATGACAATATAGAATAAGATGAAATAATGTATTTGATAGAACAATGTTCACCACACCTTGAAGCTACAGAAAGAATGTGCAAAACAAATCACAAGCCAACCTTTTATCCTTCTCTGGGAGTTTTCTCAGAGGCTATTTTTTTTACATTTAACTTTAAAATGTCTTCTTCAAATTTAGGAATTTAATAAAGACAAAATGTATAAGGCCCATTGAAATGGTTAAACAAATCCTCTGGAAAATGTCCCATGTGATGTGTGGTTCGCCCTTCCTAATCCCGGTCAATCGGAGTCAAATCGTGTATTTACTACTTAGGAACTGAACGTTACTGTGACAACTGATGCATGGGAAGCATACTCAAAACATAAATCGTTGTTGGAAAATGTATATGGAGCCATTGCATACTCACGATCGTATATTAAATTAAAATATTGGTCTCAATTCCAGTAATTGGCATTCCTTCAGCTGCTACGTGCCATGACAAAATTGCCTAGATTCAGTAAACATTCGCATCAGGGTCAATAACGTGCTTGGAAATAGGCAGTTTGTAAGTTCCAAAACGGTATAGCAATGATTATCCGGAACCATTATAAGTTCAGGCCTATAATATTTCAAAAAGGAGGAACGTATTTTAAATAACGCGCGTATTCTTTTAGCATAGCTACCAGGCCATAATCAATTTTTTTGCAAAAAAAAAATGTCCGTCTGAATCTCTCCCTAGTTTGAAACTAAAAATATATATATAAAAAACCCAAAAAGGTATGAATTTAAGTGTCATCTTTTTCATAAATTCAAGGTTCATATAAGAATTTGACCTTAATAAATCACTAGAGTGGTATTTACGGTTTGTATATCGTTTCACTTTAATATATAATTACAACAGATGCTAACGATAAAATATATTGGTGAAGAAATAATTAATTTCAGGGGAATTCTAGATTAATGTGCAAGTTTTACATTACATTCGCTGCTTGCAGGGTCATTTTTTTCCTTTTATTACAATGTACATTCAAATCACTATAATGACTGATCTTTAGGTTTTATCGTAAACAAAAGTAGGTGATGTTGCAAAGGTGTATTGTACGAAGGCTGCAGATCATCATTAGTGCCTTAGTAAAAGGGAAATAACTCTTGTGGCAAATGGGTGTACACAGATTTTATTTTTTATTTTTCAAGCATTTTCAAAGATATGTTACATAGCATATGAACACACACGCACCACTCATCCACGCACACACACTAATCTTCATCATCATTACATCATCATCATCATCATCATCATCATCATCATCATCATCATCATATCATCATCATCAATCATCATCATCATCATCATCATCATCATCATCATAACACTATTTCATAATCATTATCATCATCAACCTCATCATCAATGTTATCAGAGACGTATATATTACGTAATATATACGTCTCTGATGTCAATAGATTTATTACTTACTTAATCCTCTTCGTCCCGTATGGGACATAAGGCATCAACAATGCATCTCCGAAATATGATGCAATATATATTAACTTCACCGCTATGCCTTTTTATATCGGAATGCATACGGATAACTTGAATATAAAAAAAAAATGGTAATTTTTCATATGAAAGCTATTTTTCTTACATGATTACTTCTGAAAATGATACAGTCTTACATTTAAAAGAACATAATTTCTCCCTCTCCAATCTGATTAAAATCATATCCTACGTTCTCTACGTATCACCTAACAGGGTTTAGAAAAGGTTACTCGACGGCTGAAAATATTTTTATATTACTCTCATTAATAAACACATATTTTGCCCAAGGGAAAAGGCTGTACTGTACATTTATTGATTTTCGAAAAGCGTTCGACACAGTTTGGCGAGCGGGATTATGGCAAAAGATATTAAAAAGTAACATAAATGGAAAAGATTTTAAGGTTATCCAAAACTTATATTTTAATACCAAGTCACGTGTTAAAAACAGAAATGAAATTCCGGAATTTTTCGTTTGCAATGTCGGAGTAGAACAGGGGGAAAATGTATCCCCTTTTTTGTTTTCCCTATACATGTACCTGAACGATCCCGACGATTTATGTGCAAGTTTTACATTACATTGGTTTTACACCAAAATGATGTCGCATGGCTTAATGATGTAGAAAGACTTTGTCAAATTAACATTGGAATCAGAGACCTAAAGTAAAGGGACCGCCGACTCCCAGTGGTNTGGCTGAGACACCGGAAGGGTTACAACATGCCCTGAATGTGTTTCAAAATTATTGTATCGGAAGTTGGAAGTTAACTATTTGTGTAAAGAAAACGAAAGTCGTCATCTTTGAAAAAAGAAAACGTAGACAACAATTGTGTTTAAATTGAATGAAGAAAATATCGAAGTCCAAAATTCTTATTCATATCTGGGCATATTATTTAATAGCAATGGTGCCTTTAGTAAAGCAAAAACAAAAATAACTGAACAAGCTAAAAAGGCACTATATGCATTGTACAAGAAAATAAGAAATATTCCATTGTCTGTTGATTTGCAACTTCAGTTATTTGATTCTCTTGTTTCACCGATCCTACTGTATGCTTGTGAGATATGGGGATTCGAAAACACTATTACCATAGACAGAACGCATTTGCAAATTTGTAAAAGAATCATGAATGTGAAAAATTCTACTCAGAATTACATGATTTATGGAGAAACCGGAATGTATCCTCTGGAAGTAGATATCAAGACAAGAATGATCATGTTCTGGTTTAAGTTGTTAACTGGCGGGAGCAAGATATATGTATCTAGTCTGACATACAAAATGACAAATGCATTTTAAATGGAATAATTACATAAACGATGTATTAAACAAGTTAGGTTTCAGCAATTTGTGGAATTTTCGATTAATCGACGACAGACCGATATTAAAGAAGTCGATAAAACGTCAGAATAATTCGGACTAGTACAGGTGATGAACCACATTATTTGTTTAAATGCCAAACTACTTATATCTCATCGATAAGAAAAATATATATCCATAATTATTACACTACAAACCCTAGCAATTTTAAGCTAAAAGGAATGATTTCTATTTGTAATTTACATGTTTTACCTAAAATAAGTCGTTTTCTAGAGAAAACAATTAAGGCTTTAAGTGACATAAGATAAATGCAGTGCTATTATTCTGTAGTATTATATATTTACATGTTGTATACACAATCTGTACTCACTTTGCTATGTAATTGAAATGTATTAAAATGCTGACCTCTTGTAACACACCTCGAGTGTCATGAGTGTAAAATAAAACTTAAACTTGAACTTTTATGATTGCCTTATATTGGTAACGGGGTCGTTCTGATCGCGCGTTCATGGATAATTCTGTATTAATTTAAGTATGATACAGGGTTTGATTATTGTTTTATAAAATGTAAAAATTCTTGGCCAAAACCTACAGCCTCTTATACGAGAAACCAACGGCATTTTAACTTTATCATGGATACATGCTATTAAGATAAAATGTGTCACTCCCCGTTAAATTTTAAGAAACAATTCAGAGAAGAAAGTACATTTTTGCCACATATTGTTCAATATTTATAGTTGTTATTGCGATTATTTTTGCAAGTATATTATTACATGCATGTACTTTTCAATTCTTTTATTGGACCAAATAAAATAAATAAACAAACAACTAAATAAATAAATGGACAAACACATTAGAACCATTCACCACACCACTGTGATGCGAATGTGTTTTGTTTGTGATGATTGCAGTGTTGTTTATAGTTTGTCAAAACCTTCCAAAATACATACATGTAATATGGCGCCATTCTTTGCATATAATATACAGTACACAGATGTATCCACTAAATTTCAAATAGAAAACAAAATAAAACAAAGCAAAACAAAAACACTGTTTGTTGTATCCCCTTATCCCCCTACCAAATCCCTATACCCTGGACGCGCTCCTTTAGAAATTAGCTCACACCAAACAAGGGCCTGCCTGATGTACAAACCACGGAATTACTACTCAATTTTATTATGAGTTCGAAACTGGTATAGGTACATGGAACTTGACAAAATGTTAAGTAATTTTAGATATAATAAGATAATTATTTATGTATACCCAACACGAGAAATGATTAAAACTGACTATTTCTGACTTGAAAATTTGCCAGATCTTCTACTAAAGGAGTCACAGTCGACGTCATCGAAATTCCGGATTATATGTCCAGCTCGATTTTACTAATACCCCACCTAGGATATTTTATTGATTTCCAAACGGTGATTATACCTTTTAAATGTCAATGCAAATCTAAGGATTTATATTTGAGAGAGGTTTTGAAAATGATTGGAATACATAAATCTTAAGTTCTATGATATATATATGGTATATATGCACATACCCACAATGCCTAGCGCAGAGGCGAGAAAGGAAAATGGCGAGCTACATGTGCGTTTGCAAAAGCCGGGAAATGCTATTTCCACGAGCACGGGAAACAGCGACAGAAAATGGTTGTTGCAAGTAATGCATTAGTGTAGGTTGTCTTAAAAGGTAATAATATTATATTGTCAATGTATATATCTATTGAAAACCGGTAATATTCATTTGTTTAGGTAGGATATCTCGACGTAGGAAGTACGTTGTTGTAGACGTTGTGCATACGATTCCATAACACGCCTCTCAGTTCTCCCTGTGCAAAGTTGTTATTTAGGTGGTGTCACACTCACTCAGGTTTAGGTTTATTCGACACGATACGGTTTTATGGATGTACATGATCAAGCTTGGAATGGTCTAACCTACCAATCATTGAAAATAATGTGAAAGCTTTGTATTTAATTTGGTGATGTGTTACCACTTGATTAAGACTACTTTGTAACATCAAGTTTAACACACATGGTTAATGTATTATCTTTGTAAACCTTTTTATTGACTTGGTCTTTTCTCAAAGGACGAAATATGGAAGAGGACAAAGTGATGTGCTGTGTGTGTGCTAGGAATGGCAAGACCAACAAACTGAAGACATATCAAATCAACTTTGAGGAGGCCATTCGGTTCTGTGAGGATGACGAGGTGAGTATATATAATACCTTTACATTAGCAGGTCCAGTATGTACACTCTGCCGATTGAGTTATATAGCTATAAAGACCTATACTGTAGCTATATTCACCTATAAATTATAGCTGTATTGAGCTATATCTTATCACATTTCAATTTTCATTAAATTAAAGCAAAGTCGCATTAAACAATAAGGTTTATGGTCATGTTGACTATAAAAAACATACAGTTAGATGTTAATTTCATTTTTCATAAATGTAAAATTTCCGATTTTTTTACATCATTGTTTTTTAAAAAGAATACTTATATTTATGTCTTTTGTTATCAACCTAATGATAAAATCGTCTTTTAACAGCGACTTTGTTTCGTTTTCCTTTGAAAATCAAATCACATGAAAATAGCTCAAAATACCTATTTCGGATAGGTCAATACAGCTATTATATGTCTATACTGCTATATAGCTCAATTGGCAGAGTGTACTGGACCTGATTAGTACTAATACTTATACCTGGCCTCAATTGTTCAGGCAGATGACAAATGAAATCATCAGGTAGTAAAATACTATGTATTAACAATAAAACTAAAATTGTCTCATTTTTGAAAGAAAAATAGTAAGTGATTCATCTATGTTTGTGTAATTTCAAAAACATTTTATAAAGTTAAGTGAGGTAACATATAATTAATCATATTGCATCTTATAATTTCAGTGTACATATCCAGCAGGCATGGATAATTCTTCATGGGTCCTCAACAGAAAATTCTCAGAACTGCAAGTCAGCAAGCCATCAGTGATAAAAAAGAAAAGTTTACCACAACGGCCACACTATGCTTCATTGAAATCCACCAATTACAGTTATGGACTTCAAAAGAACATATCAAAAAGCCCAGTATGTACAAACCCTGCTCGTGTAAAATCTAGCTTAGGCATGAATCAACACCATTTGAAGAATGGACAGAATGCCTGTTTGCAATCACCTAGGACTTCGTCAACAAAGACAGAAAAGACACATTTAGTCCCTAACAATAAATCAGGGTCTCAAATTCAATACCCAGCATTTCAACAACGTCCAGAAAGTGTTACACAAAATAACGAGACTCCAAAACTTAAAAGAGGAAACAAATCTGAAAGTATTCCAAATACAACTAAATCTGATGCAGCCAGACAGTCAATAATAGGTAAAAGTGAAAAGGATTGTCCCAGTGCGATGGATCAGTTGAGAGCATTTTATCCTCAATGGCAGAACAAAGACGCTCTTTGCTGGATGGATGTCATACTGTGTCTGTTAGTCCATTGTAAGCAGGTAAATAAGTTAAAATGTGGTGACCCAGATTCAGATCCTTCCATCGTGTGTACTTTACTGAAGGCCTATGACCAAGCCCTATCATTGCTGAACAAGAGATCCATCTCCAATGCTGCTGCTAGTCCATGCGATGTTGATATGTTTGTGACAAAGTCGGATAATACCAAGCTAGTGTCCCAGATCAACTTGCCATCTACTTTGCTGTTTGAGGAGAAGGTTGGAACAGGGTGTAATGATGAGGACAAGAGCCATGTAGTTTCAAAGTCGGTCAATATGTCTTTGCAGGGGGATGAAGTCAAAACCGGTGCAGGACTTAAGTTATTGAAATCAGACTTGGTACAGTTAATGTTGTCTCATGGTGACTCGGAATATTCCAAAGCGTTTGATCTCCTGACTAATATCCGGGAGAAAATTTGGCACTTGCTTCATCCACATCTACGCTGTAAGAAAGGCAAGAATGACAGCCCTGTGTTTGCTATCCCATTGCTGACAAAGAACAGCAAGGATTTGGAGCAGCTATTAGCCATCAAGTACAATTTTCGTTTTAGTTGTACGAAATGTGGATTCCAAGATGATTTGCTTTATGAGAAAGTGCTGCCGACATTCCCCAACACAACAGCCGATTTTTCAATGATGGAGCCGAAATTCTTGCGACCCTGCTTCCAGTGCAATGCTGAGGGACAGCTAATGACCATGGTGTTTGAAAGGTATTGTTTATTATATCTAGGAAGTAAATTGTGATCAGATCTCTTAAAAAGTCCATTGAACTTTTGTTCACGATTCTGTCTCATCCTTTAAGTGTTAAACTAAATGCAATTTATTTTACTATATGGAAAATCTATAAAAGAAAATTAATATTATACTCATGTTTATTATGAAAACAAAATTCAACAATTTTTGTTTTTATGTTACTCTCAAAATAAGACCCAGGTAGTAAGAAAAAATTGTTTAAATTGAACGTCATATAAGTTGTTATTTTTGAAAGATGATGAGTTTTGAAAAGGTTGCATATTGTCTTGAAAAGAAACATTTGTAGTCCATGAATTCAAAACAATTCTGTATTTGTGTTAACTAATTAAACTTTCTGTGTTTCAGACTGCCACCTGTCCTCATGCTTCATTTTCAAGAAGGACTACACAGCAACAATTTCTCCGGTTACGATTTCCGACGTCATGATCAGCTGTACCAAGTCACAGGAGTGATTCAGTATAGAAATGATCCTGATCATTTTATAGCCTGGATCCGCAATCCTAAAGGTAAATTGCCATGTTACGATGTACTTTTTCTCAAAAAGTGGAGTTTGATATATATCATATATCTTTTGTTTGATAACCAATGATTGGTTTATTCTTTAAAATAGAGTTATTCTTGATATTTTGGCAAAATTCCCCCCAGTCTATAATTAGCAGAACTTCAAAGTAATTGTATGGTTTGGATACCAAAAATGAAAATTACATAACAAAACAAAACATATTTTTCTAAAACTGTGTCTCGTGTTGGGTTTCAGAATTGCAAGTAGACGTAGCATATTTTGATGATACTGTTTTGCCCAGATGATTGTAAATAGAACGAGAATTCTATAATCTTTTTTTTAGGGGTGGGGGGAGGTAAGCAGAATGTTTAAATGAAGTTTTTTCCATATCGAGGAAAGAAGTTAACATTAATTCTAGTAATTCTAAAATTGAAATACTGTTTCCTTACTCATTTTATTTTATTTTATCCATTGTAGAAGAACTTTGGATGGAATGCAATGACCTGAAGTCCCCAGTCTGTCAGTTTGATCAAAGAAGTCCAAGTTTCCCAGCTAACCAGGTCCATATCATGATGTGGGAAGCGGTCAGTATTGAAGATGGTAGCAGGGTCACTGTCCAAAACGGTACCAGACTTGTGTGTACTGAGGATTCTCTAAGGAGTGGACATGTGGATGTATCCATGAAAAACAGTCTAATGAATGAAAGTGATTTGAGGTCATTTGTTTCTGAAAAAGGTGACTTTATGCATTCTGTTTCAGGCAATGGTAATAATGTTATCATTTCTACACCAAGCCAATCAGTTTCTCTCCATACACCGAAAACTCTGAAGCTGACCGCTATGGGGGAGCATCAGTTCCAAACAGGTGCATCAAAAATGAATGATAGGTCACAGGTCAACTACCAAACACCAGCAAAAAGCATGGGTAAGGTTGTGAATGTTTCATTAGAGCACAAGTTAAATGTAGCTAATATTCAGAACCTTGCTGAAATTATAAAATTGCAGCGAAGAAATGTCAACAAAAGAGTATTACCTGGTGCTAAGAACAATTTGGTCCATACTCCAAATAGTGTTCACTCAAACCCGGAGTCAACTACATCAACACCCCCTGCTGACAAGATACTTGAGAAAACCAGGAATCATGTCTCCTTCCTTCGAAATATGAGAAATCCGCGAATGTCACGTGTACCTAATGAACCCATGCGTCAGCAGAAGGTCCCAAGGCCAGTAGGTTTACAAGGTCAAGGCTCCCTGAGCTTTTTATCTCAAATTCTAAGCAACACTAAAAACAAGACATCAGTATCTCCTGTCGTAAAGGGAAAGGTTTTTGAAGGATACAGATCCAAGATGTCTGATGCGACAATTTCTTTCACTTCAAAAAACAGGACAAGAAGTACATCTTCGGAAGTAGATACAGAGTCCTTGACTAGTAGACCAAACAGCCCTGCACTTAGTTGTCACAGTGATTCGGTCGTCATTCAGAAAAGGAAAGCTGAACTGGTGTCTGAAAATATTACGCTTCCAGTTCTGAAACGGCGGAGGTCACAAGACACGAACTTCACCTCAGTACCTCTGCCGCTCCACAAAAAATCAGTTAGCCTTGACGCTGCTACGACACTTGTAAACAAACAACTGGTCTCTTCTAAAACAGTTGTGAATGACAGCGGTTTAGAAGTAACAAATGATAACAACCAGTGCAGCAACAGTGAACTGTTTGCTTCAGCCAGTAGGAATGACTGTACCTTTCAGGAAACTGATATTCTGCAAAATCTCTACAGTGCCTTGAATATTGCCATGCCAGCCCAGACAGATGATAGTAAGTCTCCCGTCAAAGCGACAGGAGCCACCCAAATGGATGTTGAAAATATTCCTGATATTTCGGAGCTCGACAAATTTATCAACAGTGATGACTGTGATTCAAACATGGGGGACAACTTTGACGATTTTCTTTCTGAACTCTAAAAATGTAAGACTTGAAGTTCCAAGTCTTTATTGAATTATGAAGAGCTGGATGACATGACAAGGTATCATAATGTATCTAGGTATGATTGAATATATATAGGTTCCTGGAAATTTTGTCCAAAACTAAAGACTTGAGAAGTAAAATGAATAAAAATTATAAAGTTAACATATGTGAATTATTCAACAGGGGACTGGATCAGGTGTATTCAATTCTACTAGCCTAATGCCCATTGTTAGTAACATATAAACTTTATATCGAGTTTTAAAACATTTTCAGTTTTAACTCTAAAATTATAGGTCAGACTGGTATTATTTATTTAATGTCAAAATCTGCCTGTGGTTATAATAAGTATTCTAAATATGAAATCGAATAATTAGAGACTAGAGTAAATGAAGATATTGGTTTTATTGAAATTTACATATTATGAAATCATTTTGCAACTAACTTTCAATTTATCTCCTGTGCAACATCTTGGTGGCATATTTGATTAAATTAAAAAAAATAACATGGCTTATATCCAGGAACCTTGTATGCAATCTTACTATGTACATTGTATCTCGTGAGTTGAAACGTTATAAACCCTCCTTTTTGCATGAAAAATAATACTCCGCGTAAGAAGTAAATATCTCATGGTTCACTTGCATCTTATTGTGGTGTACTGAATTTGCGGGAATATTATGCAATATATATTTATCATAAAAAGCAGACACCAGTGATTCTTTCTTTATTGGTTTATAATTAATTGATCAGTGATTAGAGACACATACAGTTGCGAAACAAATTAATTTCTTTCTTTAACTTTGGTATATATATATTACCCTGTCAGTGATTAACTTATAACTACAAGGGTTCTTCGGTTTTACCTTGCCTTATTATGAGCAGTCAGTTTATACTTAACTTTATGCAAGTTCTACAAATTTTGGGTCAAAGTTAAATTTGAAAGTACATTTTTGTTGTTGAGAGAAGTACATTTTTGTTGTTGAGAGGCTTTGAGTTTTCATTCTCTTTAACTCATTCACCCCTGAAATTTCATGATGAACTATTCCAGCCTTTGAATTGGAAGAGTTCAAATGTATCTTCAGGGGTGAATGTGTTAACTGATTTTATTTCTGAAAAAATAAGAATATCTCTGTTATTGGCAAAATAGCTCTACATAATTTATATAGTAAAATATTGCTTGAAAATCAGCTGGAACCCTTCTTCAATATGAGCTAGCGTAGACACAAATGTGATGATCAACCACCACCACATACTTTGGCGTCTTGTTTTACATATTTTTTTTAATTTATTAGCTTGTGTTATTTTCTACTGTAGCATCTTTTCGGCAGTAAGTTGTATAGAATTTTACATAAACAAGCTTGTAATGTTAATCAACGTGTGAGATGCTTTTGAATACTGAAAAAAGGCTAGTGGTTTGTTAGCCATATAGAAATCATATATCACTTATCATGTGTTGATTGATTGTTGATTTTATGAATATGAATCACTTGAATTTACCCAAAACCATGAAGAGATATTTGTACTTGACAATAAGAAGAATCATGGGCGATAAGCAGAGTGAATGTGAAAATGCTTTTGAAAGATATTTATATTGAGCATATTCTGATCAGTTCATAATGTTTTTTTTGTTATATTTTGTTATTTTTATACTGTTGTTATTGTTGAACTTTTTATAGACTGTTGATCTTGAAATACAAGTTGAAAAATGTGTAATAGTCAGTTTCATTTAATAGTTGTATCAGAACTGGAAAGGCAATTTTCACACGGATGTGGCGTAATGAAAGGGGAAGTATATACAATGTAACTTCTGAGGAAAAAGGGAGGTAATGCAGTGTTAGGTTTGGAAGGTAGATTGAAGGCTTGTAACTAAACCAGGTGAGCCAGTAATAATAAATATCTTGTAATGTTTATGTGGATATTGTTCTGAACTATTACCAATTAACAAGGTGAGTGATGTGATGCTATTATTAGCCACAAGAAAATAAATATTTTGTAAAATTGCAAAAAAATCTGTTTGGTAAAAATAGCGGTATTTCAGACATAATATTCAACTGAAGATTAACTATCATTCATGGGGCACATGTGTAGCAACTGTAGTATGGTGAAGACATTAATCTTTTGAGAATAGGTGCCTAGCAAAGCTTGGTGTTGTACCTCATAAATATTTTTTCTTGGGTTGAAATTTCGGTCTACATTATTATACAGGAGTGATATCTCTCAATCGTACCCATTATTAGCCCCCTTCAGCACAATCTCCCTGTCCCATTTCAAAAAATTAATACTACAGGACTGTTTTCATATTTATGTGTTGAAGGCTGGGAATGTTCATCACATGATCGGTTATGAACAGGAGTAATACCCGACATGAAGGTTGTTCCCCTCAAGTCACAGCCACAAGAGTGGAATGGAGCCTAATTTCACAAACAATTATGAAAAATGGATTTTATTGCATATTTGGCTTATACAGCATGAGAACACTATCCATTTCCATGCCAGTTCCACGCTTGAAGTGCTTTTTGATTGTTTAATAATGTCATGATGCAATTGTCATGATCTTATAATTACCACAATGCCACGTTAAGTGTCATTTTCATTCCTTACAAGCCAACACATATTCTTTTTATACTTTGTGTGTGTTTATATTATAACTGCACATAATTGGATGAGAGAAGGCATTTTCTTGATGTTGTGCTATTGAGTATTGATGCATTTTTTGTTGTAAGTTGTTTTTTGAGTAAGTCTCTGTTATATGTAAAAATTGGGAATATGGAAATTCTAGCATAGGGTGTAGAAGTTGGGCCAGAGCAGAGACTTTGTTGGGGTTCTGAAAAAAGATCAACGTAGCTAGGATGGCTATGTAAGAATCTGTCTATTTAGTTCAATTAATGGTCAAAATATTGCAGAGTCCGCAAAGAAGACAACATTGTGTAGATTAGTTGTCATTGTGGTGTATTGTAACGAAACTTGTCATGGTGCACTACTCTTTGTCAGATTGTTATGACATGAAATCTATTGCTGACATGAACTAATGTTGACATGTATAATTTTACATGTGAGGTTATTGTGACTTTGAGAGCAATTTATTTCAGTCTAGTAATTGTCTTTTCAAATTTATTGTAGCTACATGTAAATATGTTCTTTTGGTCAAGAGTCATTTTTCATAATATTGTCAAAAGTCCATTGAAATAATTTGCCATTAATAATTACACTGTATTTGTTAATGTTAATTAGTATGTAATATGTATATATAAAATGATACTAGCTAAGCTTGTTGAAAGCAACTTAGCAATTGAATGTCCATGTTTATCATTACCAATATAAAATCATGTAATTGTAAGTCAAAAGTCAAGATCGTGTCAAAAATGATTGGTTTCAGTTATGCTAGAAGAAAAGGACATATGAAAACTTCTTCTGATTTTTTTCTTCTTTTGAAAATGAATCACTCTGGGAGAAAACGTGGAATTTTGATGAATCTTCTTGCAAAACTTATGCCGACATAATGCCAACTGCAGCAAGGCTGTGAATTTTTTGTGGTCATTTTTTGTAAGGTCATGGTTATATTTGAAAGGAAAAGGTCACGTGTCCATTGCTCGTATTTCACTTGGGTCAACAGTGCAAGTTCTTCCATACACATGGAACAAAACAAGTTTCAGTGAGTTTTAATGAGGAGGTGAATTCGATTCCTCCATTTGTGGATTAACATCCAACCAATCGAGCACCTCAATGCACTTCTTCCTTTAGTCAGTGCTATGTTAAGAAGAATCTGTCGGCTTTTGTCCGTCAGCAGTTTTATGTCCTTGATTTGACTGCTATAATGAAAAGGACTTAAAAGATCTAGTTTGTCCTTCTATTAGTGTTTGCTTCTGTTTTGAAGCCATCTGTTTTTATGATGAGGACCTGTCAGTTTCGTCTCTCATTCGTCCTTGTCAATAAGTTGTCTTCTATGATGAACTTTCTGTGAGAGTATACTGAAAAGTACATGTTAAATCCATTTATCTACCAATGGCTTCACGTCCTGAATGTTGTTGTGTATTAGGAAACTACGAACAGAACTCTCATGTCTTAGTCGTCTGCATTTGATGAAAGTCCCTGTCAATTCGTCCAATGACTTAAGCTGGTACTTTTCACTAAAGGTTATGATATAGTCATCTATTTTGTGGAAAAGACCCAGTGTGATGGATTGCTGTGACGTTGTCATCTGATCACCTGTCTGTTTCGTCGGTTTAGGTTTTGTGTAATGAAGTCGTCTGAAATGGCGTAAAGACCTTAACGGATCTACTGCTTTGTGTTACCTTGTTTTGGTCTCCGTTGTTTCAAAGAACCAGTCCGTTCGTCCAACAGTGCATTTTTATTATGTTGTCGTCTGCCATGTTGAGTTTTTGGTTAAGATAATGTAAGAAGTTTGTTGTGAAGAGAACCATGGCTTTACGTCCAACAGTCATTTCTGTTTTGGAGAGAAATATGCAGTGTTTTTAACTGAAAAGGCCCAGTCACTTCATCTTCAAATAACTTCATGCCAAACAGTCGTTAACTGTGACACAAACAAACACCCAGTTATAATAAAAAGGCTAAGTCTGTTCACCTCCAAATCGCTTTGTCCAACAGTCGTCTGCTGTGGCGCAGAGAAGCATGTAGTTTTTAAAATGAAAAGACCAAGTCTGTGTGTCTTCAAATCGCTTCACGTTCGATATTTGTCTGCTGTAGCGCAGAGAAACATGCAGTTGTTTAACTGAAAAGACTCTGTTCGTCTTCAAATCGCTTTACGTCCAACAGTCATCTGCTGTGGCGCAGAGAAACATGCAGTTGTTTAATTGAAAAGACTATGTCTGTTCGTCTTCAATCACGTTGTCCTACCGTCGTCTGCTGTGGCGCAGAGAAACATGTAGTTGTTAAAATGAAAAGGCCCAGTCTGTTCGTCTTTAAATTTCGTTCCTCCAACAGTGATCTGCCATGGCGCAGGGAAACATTGTGTTGTTTTACTGAAAAGGCCTATGATTCTTCTTCAAATCCCTTTACGTCAAACAGTCGTCTGCTGTGGCCCTGTCTGTTCGTCTTCAATCGCTTTGTCCTACAGTCGTCTGCTGTGGCGCAGAGAAACATTGTGTTGTTTTACTGAAAAGGCCCTGTCTGTTCGTCTTCAAATCGCTTTGTCCAACAGTCGTCTGCTGTGGTGCAGAGAAACATGTGGTTGTTTAACTGAAAAGGCCCAGTCTGTTCGTCTTCAATCACTTTGTCCTACAGTCGTCTGTTGTGGCACAGAGAAACATTGTGTTTTTTTTACTGAAAAGGCCCAGTCTGTTCGTCTTCAATCGCTTTGTCCAACAGTCGTCTGCTGTGGCGCAGAGAAACGTAGTTGTTAATATGAAAAGGCCAAGTCTGTTCGTCTTTAAATTTCGTTCCTCCAACAGTTATCTGCCATGGCGCAGGGAAACATTGTATTGTTTTACTGAAAACGCCTATTCTTCTTCTTCAAATCCCTTTACGTCAAACAGTCGTCTGTTGTGGCGCAAAGAAACCTGCAGTTGTTTATCTAAAAAGGCCAAGTCTGTTCGTCTTCAATCACTTTGTCCTACAGTCGTCTGGTGTGTCGCAGAGAAGCATGTAGTTTTTAAAATGAAAATGCTACGTCTGTTCATCTTCAATCACTTTGTCCAACAGTCATCTGTTGTGGAGCTGAGAAACATGTAGTTTAACTGAGAAGGCCAAGTCTGTTCGTCTTCAATCGTTTTGTCCAACAGTCGTCTGCTGTAGCGCTGAGAAACATGTAGTTGTTAAACTGAAAAGGCCAAGCCTGTTCGTCTTGAAATCGCCTTGTCCAACACAGTGCTGTGGCGCTGAGAAACATGCAGTTGTTTAACTGGGAAGGCCAAGTCTGTTCGTCTTCAATCGCTTTGTCCAACAGTCGTCTGCTGTGGCGCCGAGTTACATGTAGTTGTTAAACTGAAAAGGCCAAGTCTGTTCGTCTTCAAATTGTTTACGTCCAACATTTGTTTTCTGTGGCGCAGAGAAACATTGTGTTCGTTTTACTGAAAAGGCCCAGTCTGTTCGTTTATTAATTGCTTTACGTCCAACAGTCGGCTGTTGTGGCGCAGAGAACCGTGCAGTTGTTTAAGTGAATAGGCCCAGTCTGTTCGTCTTCTTAGTCACTTTACTTCTAACCGTCGTCTGCTATGTTGCAGAGAAACGTGCTGTGCGAAAGTCAACGAATTACTGTACATTCAACAGGCGTCTGCTGTGGACAAGAGAACTAGGCAGTATTATTGAAAAGGTATTGTCTGCGTTGCTCAGTCGTCTACTGTGGTGTAAATACTCCTATCGTGTCATTACAGTTTGTCCTTACAATTCTTCTGTAAACCGATATTTTCCATTTTTCCATCGTTAGTGTTGGTCGGGTCTTTTGATTAAAAAAAGTTCATTATGTTTTCACTAAAAGTCCATAACGTTCTTCAATGACCTAAATCATCTGCTAGGTGATAACGGTCTGTCTGTTTTGTCCTTAAATGGTGTTTAAAAATTGAAGTCGTCTTGTGTGCTCAAAAGGAATTTCTCCAAAAAATCTGTTCATCTATTGATGTCCCGGACGTTTCTTCTAGTGAAGCATTTTTATCATATTTTGCAATGCTTTCTAACTGTCGTCTGTTAGTATAAAAAGCGCCTGTCCATTCTCCCATCAGTGGGGTTTCGTCTGCTTCCGTGAGATGGTCCTATTTGCCAGAACATTGATCATCAAGTCGACTCCTAGGTGAAACGGGCCAGTTTTAATTGAAACATTTAAAAAAGGTGATGGTTTCAGATGGCGTGTTGCCAAGCAACCGCAACGTCGAACAAGCGATCATGCAGTCGAATATATCTTCAGTTTTATCTTGTTGTCGACGGCTTGCGTTTCAACAGGAAAGGAAACTGCAATTTACTCTCTAGAAACAGGTAAACACCAAACCAAAATGGATATGCTGTTAATAGATGGGGTACACTATATCCTTAGCGGAGACATACTGACATGACATTAAATGAAGAGTATACATGTACCAAGGACTAAGAACGAAATCCATTAATTGTTCATGGTCGTATTGCAGTATGTAAGTAAAGGGCAGAACATGTATACATACATGGCCAGACGTTATTGAATCATGTATGAATTGCGTGCTCTAAGAACCAACTTCCCTCACCATCTATAAAGTATGCTTTTATCTCCACGTGGACTCCCGTATTCTACATTGTGAACAGTTGTTCATTGTTTTCAACAACAACCAGATAAACATACAGTTTTTGCCGGACCTGCTGTTATGACAAGACGAGCAATGGCGATAATTCGACGAGGATGGTCTTTTGCAGCTAAATAGACTAATGGCGGTTCTGCCAACCAGATGCTACGGTTACGTAGTGTATTTTTGACATGATCTTAATTTTAGACTCGGTATATTGTTTTAAATAGTTGATTGACTGAAATTTCACTTTGTATTGAAAAAGATATTAACGTAGCGGATGTTCAATCTAAGTCGTTTTGATTTCATATCGTGCACGAAATAATTTGCATCAGTGATTTGGATTAAATATTAAATCAGTAACGTATATCTTTCTTCTATTTTTTTCAGAAATACCAATGCGATGTAGTTGGTAATACGTCGAACATCACCAAAAAATTGTAAATAACTGAAATAAAATAGACTTGCAAAATGTAAGCACATCGATACATAAAGAGGAGAATATACAAATGTCTGCTTTGTATTGCAATAGAATAAACTCGGAAAACGTAACTGACAGTATTGAAATCTTGTAAACTTAACATGACATACGAAAACAGCTAAGTTTGAAAAAGATGCGGAGAGTGTAAAGTCATTGCCGAAGACAACCGAGTATACATGTACATTGTATAATTATAAGATGACGCTGAAATCGTACTTATCACTACTGCAGTAGTTTTCTAAACTTTTATTTTCAGTTTGGAAAAATATCATAAATGCTGATTGCAAACTGTTATGGATAATTTACTCGGTAGTTTCATAAACTGTACATGTATAGATTATCATCACTGACAATGTAAACATTTGCTTTCAACTCCAGAATAGAGTCTAGTCTTGATTTTAATACAATGGTATTAAGGTGCTTTACCAAAATAGGGAATTTCATGACCCTGGGGTCTAACATTTCCCCCTGGGGAGAGGGTAAACTTTAATATAGTTTATATAGGGAAATCACATTTTGGACCAGCATTTGTTTAATTTCCATTGGAATTAATTCAAACTTGGTTAGCATTATCAGTATTGGATAGCAGTTTGATGATATGCACAAATCGGCCCTAACTGGCCCCCCAGGGGATGATGGGTGGGGCCAAAAAGGGTCAAATTGAAATTTCAAAAGTCTTCTTCTGAAGACCCAGATATGGTAGAATCAAATTATCTTCATAGATGGAAGGGTATTAAGGTGCTTTACTAAAATCCAGCTGACTGACAACCACTATTTGTACATAGTACATCTATCTCACAACTTTTGCATTACATGTAGTTCAAGTTACCTTTAATACAAAATGCGTTATTTTTCATTTGGCAACATCGATAACATCACATCAGTTTTTACATAAATCAGGTGACCGCTAAGGCCCCAAGGGCCTCTTGTTATTCTGAATATTTGATATTCCTCGAGGTCTTAAACAAGGTGATGCCTGAGCCCGTCCCTTTTTGATTTATATACCCTGATCCTGTATCCCTTATTGAATCAGAAATAGGCTGTATGATGTTTGCTAATGACTTGCTTATACTATCGGAAACAGCCGAAGGTCTGCAAGCTTCACCAGACAGACCATATGAATATTCTAACAACTGGAAACGTTCTATTAATATAAATAAAACAAAAGCAATGATTTTCCAGGGAGTTAACAGGATAAATACTAACTATAGTTTAAGTTTGGAAACAATAAGGTCAACACCACTCAGAAATACAAAATCTTAGGTAATATTGTTAACTCTGCAGGCAAATTTACACCATCCATGAAGTAATTATCAAATACAGGCTTGAAAGTACTTTTTCAATTAAGAAATATTCTGAAAAGATTGCTAATTCTTTAATTGCTGCACAATGTAGACTTTTCTCTGCCCTTCTCAAACCAATTTAGACCTACAATGCTGAAATTTGTTACGTGGATATGTATCAAAAACAAATAAATGCTGAAATGAGAGCACAAAAATATTAACCAAAACTTCAATTACTTTTCAATCATTGACAAGTCACCCATGGAACAAAATCATCTTATGTTCTGTAAGCTAGCCCTATGGTTACCTACGAGGACAGTAAACACTGGGTCAAGAGCTAAGGACAGTATCCTATGGAAATCCTAATTAATGTTCAAGCATGTAGTTATCTAAGCAGAATTTTACAAAAGAATACTATAAATCCCTTGGTTACAGAATCCTTTACACTCAATAGATTATTAGTTAAGAGTGGTTTTTTTTTATCTGCAATAAAAAACAAACAGAGAATTAAAACTAGCATTTTTAAAGAATTTGAAACTAACTTTTTCAGGAAACTACAAGCGATGACAGCTAAAAATAAATTATTCTTTTATAAAGATATTAAGAAAAAATACCTTTCTATCACTCATAAAAACTTAAGAATGTTGCATACAAAATTCAAATTGTGTGAGCATAACATTGAACTGGTAATAGGAATATCAAGAAAAAAACCTAGAGAGCAAAGAGTATGTAAAAAGGTCTTGTTCTAGAAGATGAAGAACACTTCTTCTTCAGGTGTGGCTATAATGCACAGTTGAGAAAGGACTATATAAATATATTAAAAACTATTCTATACTAGACACATATTTTATGTACAACTTATACTTGACTCGTGTTTATATATAAAACAGTCACTTGAACTGAGGAGTGTGGGCCTGGCTTCTGTGTAAGTTTATATATTGTTTGTTGTTTCGTTATTTGCATTCAAGTGACTCTGTAACTATAAATGAGCAATACAATTATTGAATTGAATTGATATAATCATAATCTTATCAAAGATATTCCAAATATTTTGATTAATATTACTAAATGTACAACTAGCATATTTCCTGATGGTTTATTTGCAGTACATGTGTACATATGCTGAGGTTATTACTTATGTATTGTAAACTGTTATTGTAAATCCTAGCTTAAGATATCGGTAGGATTAAGTAAAAATGAACTTGGATGACCCCCATTGTACATGTTGATTTACTTAACTGTTAACAGGTAGATAAAGCTTTAATTTAAACTTGCAAATACAAGAAGCTACCATACTTATAACAAATGTTGTGTTCAAATACTTCAAGCGCATAAATAGTGTCAAAACATGCACTTGTTACTAACTATTGCTATATTTATAGTATTCTTGTACTTAATACAAATTGTTATAGTCGATAAAGCATTGTCAGTTTGATAAAATGTTAAATGCACTGTAAAACAATAAAAATAATAATGACAAGACACTAACACTCTTTCGGAAAGATATATCTTTATCTGCAAAAATAAATTCAGCAATAGTGAAATGGTGATAAACTTGACGGATATACCTTTGTGTGTCTTGTTGCTTGACGGTCATGTGCGGTCCCCACGTTGGCGTGTATACTCCAGTATCATCCTGGCGATTTATATTTAGATGAGAACACCGTAAGGTAGGTAGGCCCCTATTCCTACGGCGAAAGAAAGTGTCAGCATCCATGTTTATATCGTTTAGATGGGTACAGATTAATCAGAAATATCCTCGGCATCAGTGTAAGTAATTTGTAACATCCGTTTTCAACCTTGACGGTATCAACACAAACGATTCACTTCTCGGTGTAAGCAATGCCTTCAGCGTTTATGATAGGTTATTTGTCATTCCATGTGAACGATTAAATATTTGGCATCCATCACTAGTAATGGCGGCAGTTCCTTTTGTCAAACAGAGGTAATAATCCTGACGGTGGTCTTGTATGTTTGTATAACATATCCCTGTAATGTTGCTGTCAAATTATAATATTTTACCTGTTTTTTTTTTAGTTCTAGTCATGTCACTACTCTTGATATAAATCACATTTAACGGTTTTAATCTTCTATATTCAATTTGAACTGGTCTGTTATAATCTGTTGGCATTATTACCATACTTTTGTTTTGTTAGCTATCAGCGCCAAGGTAGACTTCTAATATTAAACGCTATTGTTAACGTTAGCATAAACATTTTTTTAAACGTTAAATAAGATTCGCATTGGCGTCTATAATGCAACCTTGAAGGTACATTTAGTCAAGGTTAGTATTTCTACAGAAACGTGAAAGCAACTAATAAACTACGTAGGTTATTACCGTATAACAGGCTTTGCGGATTAAATTCAAAACTTGCCAGATGTATATGGTACACTCGGGTGTCGCACAGTACATTAGCAGGTGTAGCCCTACCATTACATACTGTATTTATGGTCTTTATGTGCATTGCTTTCTTTAAATGTAAACGCCCATTGCATAATGTTTGTATATAAAGCTTAACTATTGTTAGAATATGTGAATTGAATTACGCGTTCGGTGATTAGAGCGGTTGGCTTTTACTTCCCCATTCATATTGATTTATATCTTCCATACTAATAATACTTCCATACAATCTAGTTCATGAACTAGCCGCATGCATTGTTCACCAATTTCTACCATACACAGTGTTCATATACTAGCCGCATGCATTGTTCACAAATTATTCCCATACACATTGTTCATGAACTAGCCGCATGCATTGTTCACCAATTTCTACCATACACAGTGTTCATATACTAGCCGCATGCATTGTTCTCAAATTATTCCCATACACATTGTTCATGAACGAGCCGCATGCATTGTTCACCAATTTCTACCATACACAGTGTTCATATACTAGCCGCATGCAGTGTTGACAAATTATTCCCATACACATTGTTCATGAACGAGCCGCATGCATTGTTCACCAATTTCTACCATACACAGCGTTCATATACTAGCCGCATGCATTGTTCACAAATTATTCCCATACACATTGTTCATGAACGAGCCGCATGCATTGTTCACCAATTTCTACCATACACAGTGTTCATATACTAGCCGCATGCAGTGTTGACAAATTATTCCCATACACATTGTTCATGAACCAACCACATGTATTGTTCACCAATTTCTCCCATACATATTATTCATGAACCAACCGCATGCACTGTTCACAAATTTCTCTCATACACATTGTTCGTGAACTAGCCGCATGCATTGTTCACCAATTTCTACCATACACAGTGTTCATATACTAGCCGCATTCATTGTTCACAAATTATTCCCATACACATTGTTCATGAACGAGCCGCATGCATTGTTCACCAATTTCTACCATACACAGTGTTCATATACTAGCCGCATGCATTGTTCTCAAATTATTCCCATACACATTGTTCATGAACGAGCCGCATGCATTGTTCACCAATTTCTACCATACACAGTGTTCATATACTAGCCGCATGCATTGTTCTCAAATTATTCCCATACACATTGTTCATGAACTAGCCGCATGCATTGTTCCCCAATTTCTACCATACACATTGTTAGCTCACCTGGCCCGAAGTGCCAAGTGAGCTTATGCCGTGGCGCGGCGTCCGTCGTCCGTCCGTCGTCCGTCCGTCCGTCGTCAATATTTTACTTTAAACGACTTCCTCTTAATAACCGAAAGGCCTAGGGTGTCGATATTTGGCCAGAAGCAAACTGGGATGAAGGGCTACAAAGTTTGCTAAAATTAATGACCGTGACCCATTTTCAAGGTCACAGGGGTCAAATATGTTAAAAACTTTAAACAACTTCTTCTCAATAACCAAAATGCCCAGGGTGATGATATTTG